GGCTGGGCCTGCGCGCCGACCCCCGCGCGCCCCTCTTCTGCTTCGTGGGCCGCCTGACGCAGCAGAAGGGCGTGGACGTGCTCCTGGCGGCCCTGCCCGCGGTCATGGCGGCCGCGCCCCCGCCCGGCCGCGCGACGCGGCGGGGGGGGCCGGGGTCGCGCCGGGGGAGGCCGGGGCCACGCCGGGGGCGGGCGCGGCCGCGAGCCCGGGCATCCAGGTCGTCGTGCTCGGGTCTGGAGAGGTGAGGCGGCTGGCGGCGGCGGGCTCTGCGGGGGCGGTTGCCCGCCCAGCTGCAGGAGCAGCGCGCCCTCTGGCCATGCTCAGCGCTGCAACCTGGAGACAACAGCCCTTGGCCACCTCTTAAAACCCCCACCCCCTTCACCACACAACATCCTGCAGGCCTGGATGGAGGCCGCACTGGAGGGCCTGGAACTGTCCTTCCCGGGTCAGGCCGCCGGGCTGCCGCTCTTCTCAGAGGAGCTGGCGCACTGGCTGATGGCCGGCTCCGACTTCGTGCTCATCCCCTCCCGCTTCGAGCCCTGCGGCCTGGTGGCGCCCTGCGCCATGCGGTACGGCACCGTCCCGCTGGTGGCAGCCACGGGGGGCCTGCAGGACATGGTGGACGCCAAGGTGCGCAGGGGGGGGCGTGCAGAGTGGTGAGAGTAGGGTGTAGCTGCTGCTTTGCCTGGGCCTTGCATCGCTTGCATGGACCCCAGAGGAATGGGGAGATGATGCCGACGATGAACGGCCAACACTGTACGAGACATGCTGATCCATGCTTGCACGCGGAACTCCTTCACAGGTCGGGTACACGGTGCCGAGGCTGGGCAGCGAGACGTCGGCCGTGGATGTCCGGCAGGACGTCCTGCACCTCATCCAGGCCATGCGCCGGGCCGCTGCGACATGCGGCACGCCGGCGCACGAGGCCTTGCAGGCCGAGGGCATGGCCCGGGACGTGTCGTGGGCGGTGCCTGCCGCGGAGTGGGAGGCCTGGTTGGCGAGCCTGTGACGCCGAGCGTGTTGTGCCGGCGACAGTGCGCGCCCGCCGAGGAGGTGCGGAAGCCCCGACCCTACTGTCCCCCCCCGGCTCCCAACCGGCCTGTCCGGTGCGCGATCTGAGAGCTGCGGGGCCCTTCATGTTTCACATACATTGTCCTCCTGCTCCACGTTGAAATTTCGACACGTTCTGCGCAAGGCATTGCGTGGAGATCTTCGCAGTCTGCGCACAGGGGCCGTGTCCGGTCGACTCCGTACCGGTTGGGACAGGTTTCGGTGTGGAGGCAGCTTCTTGTTAAACCCTGATGCGGACAGCCCGCTGTCGCATCTCGATAAACCCTGACCAGCTGCTGGGTCAACTTCTGGCCATCTTGGAGCTCAGCTCATCCCAGCGACCGCCGGACAGTGCGCCATCTTCCCTCGCGCATCTCCGCAAACCCGGCGCGTGGCCCACCACAGCCAGGCCACCTCCCTCCGCCTGCGCCTGACCAGCTCGCAGGCTGACGCGCGGTTGCGTCGTGCCGCACAACCCCCTGCGCAGCTGCCGAGCCCTCCCCAGAAGCATCCCTCGCGCACCCAGAAGGACCCCCCCATCCCTCAAATAAATTCCGAGGTGTGTGGTCTTACCCCGGGCTGGACTTGTCCCGCCCAATTCACCCTCATGACGCGCTGACCTTCTACGGGGTTACTGACGCGGTTAGGTGTGGGTGGGTGGTCGCTCACGGCCCTGGGCCCCCTGTCCCACAACCCACAGGATTCCCTCCGATGGCGTCCAGCGTCTTTCTGCCCCAGGGCTCCCTGCTGGGCCCCCCGCCCTGCCTGCAGAGCTCCCACAGCTCCGCCTTCCGCGCCTACGGCGGCGCGCGGGAGGCGGCGGACCTGCGGGACAGCCCCCTGTTCCTGGCCGCCAAGCAGGCCCTGGCCGCCACGCAGGCGGAGGCCGCCGCGGCGGCCCTGCCCTACGCTGCCCCGGCCCTGGGGCCCCGACACCACCGCCGTCGCGGCTACCGGCCCCGACTCCGGCGCCAGCTCAGGCCTGACCGAGGCACTGGCCGCGGGGTTGCAAGAGGTGGCGCAGGCCGGCGCGCCGCGCGTGGCGGGCGTGAAGCTGCCCGTCACCTGCAACGACGTGCGCGGCCTGGTGTTCCTGGACCAGCAGGTGGTCTCCTGCTTCTGCCCGGCCTGCGACGCGCGCGTGGCGGGCGGGCACGACCGCCCGCTCTTCTCCTTCACCCGCTTTGAGCGCCACTCTGGGTCCAAGGCCAAGAAGTGGCGGCTGTCCCTGCGCATCGACCCGGGGGCGGTGCCGGAGTGCCCCCCAGGCGACGCGCCCATGCCCATCGGCCAGTGGCTGGACGCGCGGGGGGTGATGGCCTGGAGCGCGCGTGCCCCCACCCGCGTCGGCCCCGGCGACTCCGAGTCCGACTCGGGCACGCACGGCGGCGGCGTCGTATAA